AGTCTATGGGTGCTGGTTTGATTCAGTCTGATCCCATGACCTCTCCAATAATTGTTTCTTGTGCTGCAACCTCCCAACTTTTACCAGTTCCTACCACTAGGGATTCAAAATTTCGCCTTATGTCTCGACATCGAGTTCACCTTTGCCAACAGTTCTAGTGACTATCAAGTCTTTTCTTGTCCAGTGAGGTCACATTTGGCCAATTTTTTTCACCTGTGGCACATATTCACTACTGATTCTTGGGTGCTCCCAGTTTTATCGAAAGGACTTTTCATCTGTTTCCTTTCCCCACCACTGTTGTCTACTGTACTGATTTCCTTCTCATTAACTTGAGAGTCCACTACCAATCTGCATCTCTCCGAGGCTGTGCAGACCCTTCTTTCACAGATATCTCTCAAGCCTGTCAGCCAGCCTTCTCCAGGTTTTTACTCCAGACTTTTTGTTGTCCTCAGAACAAATCAGGGGACTGGCATCCTGTAATCCACCTGTCTTGTCTCAACCAATTTCTAGATCTTCCATGATTTACCATGGAGCCTTTTCTCACAACCAGGTGGGCTTTTTTCTCCAGGACTGTGAATGACCATAGTAGATGTCTCGATTGCCCATCTCCATTTTTCTATTTGTTATCAGTTCAGATACTGTCTTTGGCTTGTCCACTACAGGGTTGTGTATCGGTTTCACACCAAGCCTTTCGGGCTTGATTCAGCACTGTATGTATCTTATTGGGTGATCAAGGCCTTTGCCTGACTTAATCATGTTGAAGGGTTGCATTCACACCACTACATGGATGACTGGCTCCTGTTAGCTCATTCCAAACTGGAATCTTCTCAACCCCCACATCTGCTGATGATAGATGCAGTTCATGTTTGTTAGATTCTCAAAGTGGAGAAGTTTTTCTTTTTGCCTACCCAATATTTTATCCGCTTGGGTGAATTTTTTAACACCTACCTCATTCAGTCCCAGCCTTATCCACTTCATCTCTATTCGATGGAGCTTTCAGTTCTCTGTGCATTTACTGCTCCCTCTGTTTCTGCATGCAAGGTTCTGTCACTTTTGAGGACTTGGGCTTCTTTGGAAGACCTTATTCCTTTGGGTTGGGCACACATGCATTCTTTTCAGTGGGCTCTGTACGACTAATGGACTCTTGTTTGGGATCCCTTGGACTCCCAAATTACCATTTCTCCTTCACTCACAGATAATCTGCATTGTTTGTTTAGTAAGGACAACACAATGACAAGAGTACTGCTTCCTCCACCTCTTCTGGATTTGCATCTGCTCACAGATGCTTCTCTTCATGATTGGGGAGCATGGATACATCATCAGGAGGCTTCTGGACAGTGGTCTCAGATCAAAATGTCG